TCGTCGGAGGGAATTCCGGCAGCTACCGACCACCGTGAATGGTGGCCAAAAATTACAAAATTACCCCCAATTAAAGCCCTTATTTTTCTAAACCCAGATCTATGGTTTTTTTGGCCTAAAACCTTACCAAACGCCCTAGATCTAAGATTATCACCTTCGATGCTTCGGTTCTCCGATGATACGTGGCAGCTCCGATGACGTGGTAACTCTCTCTCTCCCCCTCCTTTCTTTTCTTTCTATTGGTATTTGTTTGGGATCGTTGATAGTTTCACGTATTTTTGCTGTCTTTGCCTTCGTCCTTTTCCTCTTTTGTTTGCAGAATCGGTGATGGTTTTATAGCCTCGATGAGGCTCTCGTCGGACCGGGTACAAGGGTCGTAGCCTCGGTGAGTCACTGGACTATGGTGGTGACTCACCATAGAGCTACAACGTGGAGGGGCAGCTGGCTTCTGGAGCTTCGGCGGTGAGACGTGGCAGCAGCTGGAACGTCGGTGTGGAGACAGCAGAGGCGGCGACGTGGCCCTAGGGTGATGATACCCTAGGGTTTCATCTGGAACCATCTGGGCCTTTGGATCAAAGCCAGATCTAACAGTTGTGATCGTTGGCGGCTGAGGCTAAGATGATGAAACCCTTGTTGGGTTTAGGGTTTCCTTTGGGTTGGCTCAGGATTTTGTTGGGCCTCCGGGTTTGGTTATATTTTGGGCCTGAAATGTAATAAAATTATTTATTAATAATAATAAAAACATAATAATAATAATAATATTTATAATAATTATAATAATTATAATAATAATAAAATATTAAAGTAATAAAAATAAAAACGAGACAAAAATTTAGTGTCTACAGCTACCCCTCTTTGCTCATTCTTGTGTTAACAAGAATAGGGCAAAGACGAAAAGACAATAAATTTTTGTTCAATTGACTTCTTTTGTTTATGATAGAAATGTTGAACAAGTTCTTCTCATTTGGGATTAGTTCTTCTCATTATGAACTATTTCACTGGGGAATGATAATCCATCTCGTTTTGTGATGAAATCTAGCAAAAGGTTAAATAAGTTCTTCTCATTATGAACTTGTTTTTCCTCTTCAGATGAGTTCTTCTCATTATGAACTCCTTCTGGAAATGTTGATCCTTAAGAAATGTATCGTTGATTCAACTTCATATGTGATGAATTAAGGCAAGGTTGAACAAGTTCTTCTCATTATGAACTTCTTCTTCCTATTCAGATGAGTTATTCTCATTATGAACTTCCTCTGAAAATGTTGATCCTCAAGAGAGGTTCTTCTTTCATTCAACTCCATAGGTGATGAATCAAGCTAAGGTCGAACAAATTCTTCTCATTATGAACTTTTTCTTCCTCTTCAGATAATTCTTCTCATTATGAACTTTATCTGGAAATGTTGGTGCTGATCTATCTTTCTGTGATAGAGTTAAGAAAAAGGTTTGAACAAGTTCTTCTCATTATGAACTTCTTCTTCCTCTTCAGACGAGTTCTTCTCATTATGAACTTTCTCTAGAAACACTACAAGAAATTTCTATTATTGTGACAAATTTAGTTTTGTCAAAATTAAATTTTTCACTATTAGTAGTTTTTTGGTGTCAAAATAAATCATCGTCGCGTTAGATTTAAAAAAGATATACAATTATGACAAAAAGTTAAAATCATCATAATAATTTGTCACAATTAGCGAACATATGTAACATATGGTGACAAAATAAATTTTATTACGAATTTTTGTCACATATATTTCCCTCCAATTTTTTTGTGCCAAATTAAAAGCATATAGTGACAACTTTTGTAACTAAAAGTTTTAGTAACTATGACAGAAAAAATTGTCACAACAAATAATAAGATTTAGATTTGTTGTGACAAATTTTGTTTGTAATTATATATTTTAATTATAGTGACAAAATGTATAGTCACAAATGATTATCTCCAATTTTTGGTACAAAAACAAAATCATATAGTAATATGTTTTGTAACTATAAGCTATAATTATTATTATTAAAAAAAGTTGTCACAACAAATAATGAGATTCATTTTTTAGTACAAAACAGTGTTTGTTGTTACATATTTTAATTATAGTGATAAAATATATTGTCACAAATATTTTCCTCTATATTTGTTTGCGCAAAAAAACCATATGGTGACAAATTTTGTAACTATAAGTGTTAATAATTATTACAAAAATAATGATATTCACGTTTTTGTGACAAATTATATTTGTAGTTATAAAGTTTAACTATAGTGATAACATATATTGTCATGACTATTTTTCTCCACTTTTTTTGTTTCAAAAGTTGTATTGATAATTTTTATAATTATAATTTATAGTTATTTTTATAGAAAAAACTATCACATCAAATAATAAAATTCAAGATTTTTGTAATAAATTATTTTTGTACTTATATATTATTTTTGTAACTATAAGTGTTAATAATTATTACAAAAAATATTGTCACAAAAAATAATGATATTCACGTTTTTGTGACAAATTATATTTGTAGTTATAAAGTTTAACTATAGTGATAGCATAAATTATCATGACTATTTTTCTCCACTTTTTTATTTCAAAAGTTATATTGATAATTTTTATAATTATAATTTATAGTTATTTTTATAGAAAAAATTATCACATCAAATAATAAAATTCAAGTTTTTTATAATAATTTTTTTTGTACTTATATATTTTTTTGTAACTATAAGTGTTAATAATTATTAAAAAAATATTATCACAAAAAATAATGATATTCACGTTTTTGTGATAAATTATATTTGTAGTTATAAAGTTTAACTATAGTGATCGCGTATATTGTCATGACTATTTTTCTCCACTTTTTTGTTTCAAAAGTTATATTGATAATTTTTATAATTATAATTTATAGTTATTTTTATAGAAAAAATTATCACATCAAATAATAAAATTCAAGTTTTTTGTAATAAATTATTTTTGTACTTATATATGTTAATCATTATGAAAATTTATATTATCAGAACCATTTCTCCATATTTTTTAATGTAAAAAATGTTATATAGTAACAAAATATATTGCTATAAAGATTTTTCGCCATTTTTTTTGCACCAAAAAAATCATGTAGTACAATTTTTGTAACTATAAGTGTTTATAATTATTATAAAAAATATTATCACAAAAAATAATAGTATTCACATTTTTGTGACAAATTATATTTGTAGTTATAAATTTTAATTACAACGATGACATATATTGTGATAAATATTTTTCTCCACTTTTTTTTTTTTCAAGAAGTGATATTAATAAGTTTTGTAATTAAAATTTATAGTTATTGTTATAGAAAAATTATCACATCAGATAATAAAATTCAAGTTTTTTGTAATCAATTATTTTTGTAGTTATATATTTTAATCATTATGAAAAATTATACTACGAGAACCATTTCTCCATATTTTTTGTGCCAAAATTGTTATATAATAAAAGTTTTATAGTTATTGTTATAGAAATATTATAACAACAAAAAATATATTTTTTAATTAATAAATGATTTTAGTTATTTATGAAAAAAATATGCTTGTAGTTATAAATTTTAATTATAATAAGAAAATATAATATTATTATAAAAATAAAATGTTCAAAAAATCAAATTTCTATGATATATATAATTTTATGGCATTTTTAAATAAAATATAATAACAAAATATATTATCAAAATGTTTTCATTTATTTTTTACGAAGTTAGTTTGAATTTTTTTTTCTTAATTATAATTATGTAAATGATTTAATCAAGTAAATAATTTGAATAAAACAATATGCAAAATTGAACAAATTAAAAGTAATTTCATTTAGAAGGCATACAAATAATCGTAATTAATTAAATTAAATAATATATTTTAATAAAATAATTGTCTCACATAAAATTATAAGTAATCATTTTCCTCCTCTTCGTCTTCATATTGGTAGTCTATATCTTCATTTTCACCACCACCACCACCACCACCACTACTATTGTTATTATCACCATCTAACACAATGATCATCAATATTTTAATAAAAAATAATTTTAAAACATATGAATAATAAAATAATTATTTTATAATTTTTAATAATAAAAAATTTAATAAAATAATATTTTATATTTATAAAAATAGTTTATAAATTTTAACAGTAGAAATAATTGCAACATACTATATAGTTGAGTCTTTTTTATACTTTAACCCAAACAAAACCCTAGAAAAAAAAACTGTGAACAACTCACAAAACGAAAGCAATATATCTTCCGCCCTAATTCTTTCTCTTTAGACTATAATCCGTTCACGCGGCAGTTCCGTCGACTGCCCGCTTCGGAAATCGATCCTCCGTCAGGTGAATCGTGTAAATATGGGTATATTTTTTATGGGTTCGGGCTGGATGTTAAAACTAACGATTACAAGGTCGTGAGAATGGCGACGTTCAATAAACTGACGATGAAGAGAACGAAAGTTACTATTTCGATTACGAGGTTAAGGTATATAGTTTAAAGAATAACTCTTAGAGGAAAATAATTAAGCTTCCTTTTTATCTTCGGTTTATGTTCCAATTTTTCTATAATCTCTTGCATAGACGAGGCTATGGTGTGCTGGCCGGTGGGGTTTTACATTGGGTGATGCCTCCAAGGATCGAATTCGGAATACGATTGTGGGTTTCGATCTCGGAACAGAAGAGTTAATCGAAGTGCCTCAACCTAATTGCGCTGATAAGAGCTATCTGTTGGATGTGGGTGTCTTGGAGGGACGCCTATGTGTTGCTTGTAATTATGACCAAGAGAAGATTGATGCTTGGGTTATGAAGGAATATGGGGTGAAAGGATCTTGGACTCCAACTTGTTTGAAGCACTTCTTAAGATTGTCTTTTGCAACCGAGCCTTAGTTCAATTGACACTTTTGCTGTTTGAGTAACTTGGAAAATATGGTTCTGTGTTTTGGTTTTTTCAGGGATGATTTCCTTTCAAAAGGATTCAAATTGGTCTTATAATCAAAATGAAGAAAATACAGTATGAGCAAAGTGCGGACGAAGTTAAATTGCGTCTTATCTATGAAGGTAACCAGTTCAGTTTGCTTTATTTAATGTTTTCATTGAGGTTGAGTTTTATATTTCTGTGTTATTTTCTGAGCTTAGTCTTTTGTCTGTTGACTTTTATGTTTTTTTTTTGGGATTAGAAATTGACTTAAATTTGTTATAACCATGTTTTAGACAACTCTTGAAGCTTTGTATCTTCTTATCCTTCTCTCACAGTGGATCTCCCAAAAGTTGACTTGGGAAGTCAAATACAATTGACATATGAACTGGGCTTTGGTATTTGGCAGAAAAAAGCTTGGACAATTCTCAAACTTTTGAATGATGCTATGTTTAACAAGGTTTTTTTTTAGTTTATAGAATGCTCAACTTGGGTCCATGTATTAATCTTGGTAGCTTTTATTGTGTGAGACATTTAGAAATCTCAACGATGTCTTGATTTGCTATTTTGATTCCTGCATCTGGACTTGATGGGGTTTATATTTAGAGCCGAAGCAGATCGAAAAGTGTACCAATCTGATCCATTTTTCAAACAGCTGAGAAAGAGACCATTCCTTCGGCACAATCAGAAGTCTTCTTCACTCTTGACAACCAGCTTGCAATGGAAGAGTTTTTGGAGTTTCATATTCTCGGTTTTTGCTTCTTAGGAATTGTATGATTTAACATTATCCTTTCTACTAAAAGATGGATAGAGCTTTTATTCTCGGGGATGCCATCGAGTACATGAAGGAGCTTCTTCAAAGGATCAATGATCTGCATAACGAATTGGAGTCAAACCCTGGTAGCTCTCCGCTCACACCTACAACTTCCATCCTTTGACTCCTACTCCAGCTACCTTGCCCTGTCGTATCAAGGACGAACTTTGCCCCAGTTCATTACCGAGTTCTAACGGGCAGCCAGCAAGGGTAAAAAGATGTCTTCACTTTTCTCTTATCGTATACCATTAGTGCATAATTGATTCCGACATGCTTGAGCACCATTTTGTGTGTACATAATATATACACATGTTTATGTAGGTTGAAGTGAGGCTGAGAGAATGAAAAGTTGTATGGGGTTTTCCCTTTGTCTTGAACTTCATTGTGACTAATGTGAGGAATTATAGTTTATTTATTTAATCTAATGTTTGTGTGTGTTTCTGTTAATTTTTGGAGATTATTTACATGTATGCTGTTTAAATTTTTGGGTTTTATTTTTTTATTCTTTCACGTGATTGGACCTTTTTAATTATGAAAAATTTAAATAGTTATAATAACAAATTATAATAAATATTAATTTCTCAATATAAAAATTATAACAAATAATATATTTTCACAATAATCAATTATAACAAATTTATTTAGTCACAATAACATATTAAATTTAGTTAAAATAAAAATTTATGTTAAATTTATTTCGTCTCAATATTTTCTCAAAATAACAACTTTTGACAAATTTATTTAATCAAAATAACAATTTATAACAAATATTAATTTCTCATTATAAAAAATTTGTGACAAATACTATTTTTCACAATAACAAATTGTAACAAAATTATTTAGTCATAGTAAAATGTTATAAAAAATATTTAGTGACTAAATAAAAATAGTAAGAAAATAAATTTTGTTGTAATATGTATTTTTGTCACGAAAACCTTTTTTTAATGTTATAATTTAACTTAACTGTGATGAAATTTATATTTTTGTGATAAAATAATTATTTTATTTTAACAATTATTTTTTCTCTTTTAAGTTATATTTAGTAACGAAATAACAACTGCGACAAAATAATTTTTATTGCCTTATATATTTTCGTCACAAAAACCCTTTATATTTAATATTTAAATATAAGTTAATTATGACAAAATGTACTTCTCGTGACGAAATAACTAATTGATTGTGACATATTTTATTGTGATAAGTTAATTATAGTAATGAAATTTTATTGTTACAATAAATATTATACAATGGTAACAAATACAATTTTGTCACAATATACTTTACATGACAAGGTTGTTCTAACAAACATGGTAACAAATAAAATTTGTCAGAATAAATATATCGTGACAAATTTAGTACTTTTAGTGATAAATAATTTTGTTGAAATAATCGAAATTTCTTGTAGTGAAATGTTGGTGCTGATTTATATCCTTCTGGGATATAATCGAGAAAAAGGTTGAATAAGTTCTTCTCATTACAGACTTCTTCCTCTTCAGATAAGTTCTTCTCATTATGAAATTTCTCTGGAAAAGTTGATGCTGATCTATTCTTCTGGGATAAAATCGAGCAAAAAGTTGAACAAGTTCTTCTCATTATGAACTTCTTCTTCTTCTACAGATGAGTTCTTCTCATTATGAACTTTTCTGGAAATGTTGATCCATTGAGTGATGAATTCGATTTTTTGTTGAAATCTTTGTTAATTTTTGAAATTCCTGTCAAAATTTCAACATTGATAAAATGAATGAAAATGCCCCTATTTTTGCAAATGTCTAAATATGATGCATGAATATTAAGTTCATTTTTATTTGATTTCAAAGTGGTGAACTCGGTCTTCCTTTACTAGTCAAAATGTCATTTCAAGCTGGCATTCTCTTTAAATGAAAGTCTCAGAAAAAATGTTTCATTCATGAAACTTTTGTCGTAGTCAGAACTATGACTTTGATGCCCCATTTTATCGTGGATAAAACTGACTTTCTTCGTCTGGACTTGTGTAGAAATCCAATAAATCTTTCATCTTTGAAAAGAGAATTTATCATATTTGAAAAGAGAATCTATCATCTTTGAAGAATGTAGATATAAATATTCCGAACTCAGCAGAAATTAATTAGGAGAGTAGAGTCTGTTTTGTTTTGACTCTTGAAACACATCATAAGGAGAATTTATCCTAATTCCTTTCATGTCTCCACATCTAATCAGATCTCGAATAAGGCAACTTGGACCATATCATGTCGAGATGTTTAACAACAACCTATTGTTCAATCTTAGTTGGCTCCACTAGTTTCTTGTTGTTAAAATTTCAGCTCTCATTCTATGGAAAGAAATCTTCATCATATCTCACTTCTTAACCTTTGTGTTGAAGAAGACAAACTTCATCTTGGATAAATAAATGGAAACACCATATGATCATAACATTAGTTCAGCACCATAATCATTGGTTCGTAAAACATTTGACAACACATTCATCCTTTCCCGTGGCTTCTGCCCAGATGTTTGTAAAACATTTGACAACACATTCATCCTTTCCTGTGGCTTCTGTCCAGATGTTCATAAAATATTTGACAACACATTCATCCTTTCCTGTGGCTTCTGCCCAGATTTCTGGTCAAGGAAGCTATTTCATAATGTTCAAAACTTTTGTATGATGTCACAAGACCACTTGAGAACAAATCTCAATGGGAATACAAGTGAGATGTTGGCGTGTTTCATGACCAAAAAGTTGGTTAAATTCACAAAATATGCTAGTGCCGAATTGAATAAGAGATACCAACTGATCTCGATATCATATTGGGCAAGGGTGATATTGATCACGTTTTCTTCCATAATGAGTGTTGTAAGAAGTAGAAACACATCCATTATAGGAGCCATGTACATAAGAAGGTCCATGGAATTATTGCTACTGTAGATGAAATGCACATGATAAAACCAAATAGATGAAAACTAAGTTCAACTTGAATGGCAATGATAATCCCAGTAACAATGGAAATAAGGGTAATATACGTAAGTCGAGCCTTTCTCTTCAATGTTATAAAGTAAGTGAAGACTGATGTGAAAAAATAGGTTTGTAACCCCAACAGTATGGTTAAAACTAACTGGAAGGAACCTCAAAGAAATATTTTCAATCATCACCGACACATAAAAGACCAAACTCGAAGCTGAGATCTTGAGGAACTGAACTCTGGATCAAATGGTCTGCATGGGGACCTTATTTATCCATGCAACCGTGATGTAGCTTAACAAAGAACATGCTGTCATGTGACAAATGATTAATAATATTGGATATTTGAAACCATATTTGTTGAGTAAATATTTATTCAACAACAGGACTCTAATGCAATTGCCTGATGAACGAAGCAATTATGTATAGTCAGCTCCACTGTCACTGTTTTACCATTTTCATTCTTCATATCTTTCTGTCTCATTGGAAATATTTGTTCAAGTCAATGATCTTTAACACATGATGATGTGGGTCTTCAGTATGCCCTAACATTTGTTGATACAGACGTTCAAAATGCACCAACATTCCTGATTCTGATTGAAAGGGGCTTTCAGTATGCCCCAACATTTGCTGATACAAACGTTTAAAATGCGTCAATATTCCAATTTCTGATTCAAATGGGCTTTCAGCATGCCCCAACATTTGCTAATACAAACGTTCAAAATACATCAATATTCCAATTTTTGATTGAAATGGGCTTTCAGCATGCCCTAACATTTGTTTCTAGCTAATATGAGCTTTCAAAGATGCCCAAATATTCATACTAACGTGCCTTCAAAATGCCCCACATGGATCTGTCTGAAGTGGACTTTAAAATGCCTCAACATTTGCTGATACATATATCAAAAATGCATTCAACATTACTTCTTGTTTAGATGAGCCTCCAAAAATACCCAAATATTCATATTGCCATGAGCCTTCAAAATGCCCAACATTCTATTTCTGGTTGAAATGGGCTTTCAAGATGTCTCATATGGATTTTTCTGAATTGGGCCTTTAAATATGCCCTAACATTTGCTTATAGTTCATTCTTAACATCTGTTTGACTTGAATATCATGATCTCCACGAGATCCAATTTTGATAATACACTGTTGTTGTACTTTGATCTGTACACAAATCTGTTAATCTTGAATGCTCTCATTCTGGTGTTACAAAACAACATATTGTCAAGTAATTTGAGGAATTCTCTTCATGTTGTCACAAACTTAAGAAGTAATCAATCATTCTGACGGAAATGTATGAGATATGTGCCTTTTCTAAATGAGGTGCCCATTTTTTGGATCTAGAGGGATCTAGTCGGACAGAGTGGTGTAAATCGCTTGGTAATTCATTCTAGGTCGACACAGTGGCTTATCATCTTTCGGTCTTAAGAGACATGTTCCCCAAGGGTATCAATGTTTTGTCTCTTTTCTCTGGGATCGGTGGTGCAGAGGTTGCCCTCTATCGGCTCGGTATACCTTTGAAAGCAGATGTGCAAGAACTGAATGATGATCGGGTAGAGTAATTGATGAGTAGATTTGGAGGATTTAACCTTGTTGTCGGTGGCATCCCGTGTAACAACCTTAATGGAAGAAATAAACATAATTGGGATGAACTAGAAGATTTTTGTTAGTGTATTTTCTTGCAATGAATGCTACAGTGACTGTCACTTCTGCTGCTCCAAGATACGCACTACTATATCCCACTTTTCCCAAACCATGGAAAGGTTTAGTTGATGGTAAAAATGGTTATCTCTACTTTTGGAATCCTGTAACCAATGCTACTCCATATGAAAGGCCTACAAATGTAGAATCTGTTCCAATGTCTTATTCTGTGCCTATAAGTTCTCAATTTCAAGTTCAACAATCTTCTGAAGGACATAATGGATATAATCCTGACAAGGAAAATGATCGACATGGAAGAAGCAGTAATGATGTATCAAGACTTGAGCCAACATCATGGTATAACCAGAGTGCAGATGGGGGACTTGTTCATTCCCATAATACACTTAATGAGACTTATAGCTCTGTGATTCGAGGATCTGCTAGAGGACATGGATTGATAGATGGGGGAAGTAACTTGTCTGGTGATGCTTATTGCCATCAGCATGAGATAAGTGTCCATTTTAAATAGGGTAATCTTTCTTGATGAGTGGCTAATAATGTCACAGGAGAGACATTACAAGTTCAATTCTCCAGATTTTCTTGATTTCTCAGACACCTTGCCTTCAAGAAGGTGAAATGCTTCATCATTCTGGCCTTGCTTATTCTTTTTCTACAATAGAGGTAGAATAGGCAACAACTTGCTTCCAGAACCTTTCTCATTTAAGGTTGTCCTGTTTGAAAATGTTTTCCTCCTTTCTTTATCAAAGAATGAAAGAATTTTGTAAAGTGTTGCCTATCACAGATTCACAATAGCAAATCATAAGCATGAATTTAATGAATA